TAATTGTTTGAAAGTTGTTCACAAAGGTTCTGAGTTGACAGTAAAAGTTGATATATTGGTTAATAATAGTTTATGCCAATAGTCAAGAAATCCAATAATTTTGATTAAGAATTTTGTTAAGAATTTTTTATTGTAATTTTGTTAAGAATTTCTAGAGTTGCAAGTGTGAAGAATTTCTAGAGTTACAAATGTGAAGAATTGCAAAAATTTCATCTATCATAGTCATCAATATAATAAAACTTTTGATAAACTAATTGTTTAAGATTTTTAGAGTTTTAGATAAAAAATATCATTTAAACTATGCTTTTGTTTGTGCTACCTTAATCAGCTCATTATACCAAGTTTAAGTTTTCAAGTTGTTATTAAAGTTAACTTGATAGTAAATGATAACTTAAGTTGGATATTCTTTTGATAACTATTCTTAAAAATCTTTTTGCAATCAAAAAAAAAGGTTTACTTTTTTAAATTTATTTTAAAAAATAAATTATTTATTCCCGTGAGTAAAATGAAAATATTTTTTAAAATAATATGTTTAAATATTATAAAATTTAAATATTAAAAAAATTTAAGAATACTTCATAGTTATTTAATCTTTTTTTTTTATTAAGTCACGTAGTGAGCGATGTGTTTCAGATGCATTTCCTGGTGCTACTATTATGCGACCAGCTCCTATGTATGGAGATGAAGATAGTTACTTTAATAGATATGCATGTAAGTAGTTAGTAAAATATTATATAAATATGTTGCATGTATTATATAAAATATTATATAAAATACACATATAGACATGCATATATCAGTGTGGTACATGTAAACTTAAGCATTTAAAATTTGTCAATTAAATCAAAAAAATTCATATAAATATGTGATTAAAAAAGAAAAATAAATATGATTAAATAAGAAGACTTTATTTTTGATTTCAAACAATGAAATAATAGCTCAGTTCATAAGAAAACATAGAAAAGTATATTGATCTCAAAGGATCTCAAACAATAAGAATTTATAATATTGTATAAATGCTTAAATAAATACATCAATAGATACATACATACATAGATACATACATAGATACATACATACATACATACATACATACATACATACATACATACATACATACATACATACATACATACATACAATTGCTTTAAAAGATACATTACGATAAAAAACAAATACACAAAATTACATTTACATAAAGAATACATACTTTTTAAATAAAAAATAAGAATATACTTATAAAATCTATAATTTATAATAAACTTTTAAAATATTAACAATTTAATTAATATATATTTAAAACATTTATTTTTGTAAACAAATAATATATATTCTTAAAACAATTTATGCTAGAAATCTCAAAACGTAACAAATCGTGAATAATACTATTTCTAAAACATTTCAAAAGAATACTCTAGAACTTTATTTTGCTTAATCAGCGTATTTTTTGAACCAATAGAATTAGTTTGTTCGTTAATTTGGCGGATTTTTAGTGTTCGCGAATATTCTTTTTATTCTTTCACACCAAGATGTTTTGAGAACATTCAAGTTTTTTATGTTTCCATGTATGTCTGTAAAACAAAAATTCTTTGTTTCGTACATAAACTTAAATGTTCTCAAAACGACTAAAAAACCTGGCCAGTTTTTTGCAACTAAATACAATTTCCGAGGTCAGTATTCGAGAGCGATCGCTCCCGCTTCCCGACCAAGCCTATACATACATACATACATACATACATACATACATACATAAATACATACATACATACATACATACGAACGTACGTACATACATACATACATACATACATACATACATACATACATACATACATACATACATACATACATACATACATACATACATACATTCATACATACATACATACATGCATGCATGCATGCATGCATGCATGCATGCATGCATGTATGTATGTATGTATGTATGTATGTATGTATGTATGTATGTATGTATTTATGTATGTATGTATGTATGTATGTATGTATGTATGTATGTATGTATGTATGTATGTATGTATGTATTTATGTATGTATGTATGTATGTATGTATGTATGTATGTATGTATGTATGTATGTATGTATGTATGTATGTATGTATGTATGTATGTATGTATGTATTTATGTATGTATGTATGTATGTATGTATGTATGTATGTATGTATGTATGTATGTATGTATGTATGTATGTATTTATGTATGTATGTATGTATGTATGTATGTATGTATGTATGTATGTATGTATGTATGTATGTATGTATGTATGTATTTATGTATGTATGTATGTATGTATGTATGTATGTATGTATGTATGTATGTATGTATGTATGTATGTATGTATGAATGCATGCATGCATGCATGCATGCATGCTTGCATGCATGTATGTATGTATGTATGTATGTATGTATGTATGTATGTATGTATGTATGTATGTATGCATGTATGCATGTATTTATGTGTGTGTGTATGTTTGTATGTTCAAATGTATACATACATACATAAATACATGCATACATACATACATACATACGTACGTACGTACGTACGTACGTACGTACATACATACATACATACATACATCAGCCCTCAGAATTAGGAAAAATAAGTACCTGATGCAGACCTAAAACTGTTTTTTAGCATAAATTTGACTGAAAAAAAAAAAGTAAAGTTTGACAACTTTTTTTTCAAACATTAATGTTTGCTTTAAGATTTAAAAAACAATATAAAGTTATTTTGATATTGTTTTCAGTTATTATTAATAAAAGGTTTGTTTTACCATTTTAATTTTAATTATTTTGTTTGCAATTTTTAATAGAAAGGAATTTCATTTTTATTTTAGTTATTGTTTTTTAATTACTTCAAAAAACTGCTAAAAACAAATTTAAAACACTTTTTAAATAATTTTAAATTAATTTGTTCAGAATTTAAATAAGATGCTTGTTTTGCTGTTTTTATTTTAAATATTTTATTTTGAATTTAAATAAAACATCCTTTTTTTCTGTTTTTATTTTAAATTATTTAGAATTTAAATAAAACATTTGTTTTGTCATTCTTTATAAATAATTTTAATCTGAATTTAAATAAATGTTTGTTCTTCGTTTTTAATGGGTCAGCAGGTCAGCAGTAAGGTTAGTGTTGCTGAATACCAACCTTTATTCTGAGGGCATATATACAGGGCTCGATTTAACGGTCAGAGATCACCACCATTTATATATATATATATATATATATATATATATATATATATATATATATATATATATATATATATATATATATATATATATATATATATATATATATATATATATATATAAATTAGTAGAAAATCACTTAGCAAAATTTTTTCTCATTTAACACTGTGTTTCATCAATAAAGGCTCATCAGATTTCTGATGAGTCTTTATTGATGAAACACAGTGTTAAATAAGAAAAAATTTGGCTAAGTGATTTTCTACTAATTTGTAATTGCTCTGTTCTTTTAAGAACATTGAGCACTCTTTTTGTAGAATACATTTTAAATTGTTTAAATGTATATATATATATATATATATATATATATATATATATATATATATATATATATATATATATATATATATATATATATATATATATATATATATATATATATATATATATATATATATATATATATATATATATATATCAGTGCTTGCATATATTTTCGTGAAAGTGCTTGATGAATTAAAGTAAATTAAAATGATTTAAATTAAAACAGAGCTGTATTTACAAAGATTATTTATAATTAAAACTACATATTTTTTACAACTTTAAGTTTCATGCTAAATGCAATCATCTGGTGTAAATATGTTTTTTTTCTCATGAAAAAATAATAAATCTGTACAAAAGAAAATGAGTTAAAAAAATCTAATCTTTTGGTTTATGGTTGTCCAGCAAAAACTTGTTCTCATGGCGACATTTAGATATTAGTTCGTTTTTTTTTGTTTAATAATTCTTGAGGATTTTTATACAATAAAATAATGAGTTTTTCGTATAAGCATAACAGGCATTTTTTGGTTATGTTGTTGTAGACGGGGGCATATTTTATGATGGACCATTTTAAATTAGGTGTTTTTTTTTTTTTTGCCTCTGCCTACAACAACATAACCAAAAAATGCCTGTTATGCTTATACGAAAAACTAATTATTAATTAATTACTGTTTTCAAAAACATGGTAGGTTTTTGAAAACAGTAATTTTTTTAAAAAGTCAATTGTTTGCGTTTAAAAAGTTTAAACGCGAACAATTGAGTTAAGATTGTCTACTGCATCTTTAAACAAAGAAGTTTTTGAAAAAGCTGTTTCTCCTCATCAGGATGCATTGTTAAAATTGGGTTTTGCATCCAAGTTCAAACATTGGTCAGATATAGAACCCATTCAAAACAAAAATCACAAATGGAACATTATTCGGTGTAATCCCCCATATAGTAAATGTTGCAACAAAGATAGGTAATCTTTTTTAAAAAATAATCAATGCAAGTTTTCCTGTTGGTCATTTATTACACAAGATTTTTAACAGAAATACCATTAAAATTAGCTACTTGTGTATGCCAAATGTTAAGTCAGTCATTAATTCACATAATTTAAATATTTTATACAATCATAAAAAAACAGCAACAAAAACCTGCAACTTCATCAATAAATCAACCTGCATTATGAACAACCAGTGTCTAAGTAAGAACATTGTGTATCAAGCTACTGTTTCATCCAATAAACCAGATTACACAGAAAAAGTTTATATTGGTATTAGTTAGACCCAAGTTAAGGTATGCAAACCATTTAAAATCTTTTAATATAATTAAGTACAGCAATGATACAGAATCTACAATTTTCTTTTACGTTTTCTTGTTTTGTCTCTATAATGACTTCAGATGTCGCTCCACTGTATTTTGTAATTTTATTAATGGTTTTTTGTTTGTTTTTGATATAGTACATGACTGATAATTGCCGTATAGGCATGAAACTTATAGTTCCATGAAAAGTTATTATATATATATATATATATATATATATATATATATATATATATATATATATATATATATATATATATATATATATATATATATTATTTTGATAATATGCTTTTACTTAGATTTCAGAAACTTTCCAATTGGAATACCTTTAGCCAAAGGTGGTTGGGAAACTAGAAAAAGACCTGTTGCTGTATGATTTTTGAAGTTTGTTTTGTTGGTTTAAAAAAAATTTTATTGGTTTTTTATTTTATATTAGGTGATACTATTATGTTTCTATATTTGATTTCAATTTAATTAATAAATGTAGATTTATTATGATGTCAAGATTTTAAATAATCTTTTAAATTGTATATTAATATTAATTCAAATCATTCACCCCAAATTCTAAAACAAATTCCGATTTCAATTAATAACAGGCTAAACCAAAACTCCTCTAATGAAAAAATATTCAATTCCTCTAAACAAATATTTGAAGATGCCCTTAAAAAAAGTGGTTTTGAAGATTTTGAACTAAAATTTGGCCCTGAAAAAAAGCGTACAAAAAAGCGATATAGAACTAAAAATGTAATTTGGTTCAACCCCCATATAGCAAAAATGTTTCCACTAACATAGGTAAAGTGTTTTTAAAATTAGTCGATAAGCATTTTCCGCCCTCTAATAAATTACATAAAATTTTTAATCGAAAAACAATTAAAGTTAGCTACAGTTGCATAAAAAATATGGAAAGAATAAGGTCAGGTCAGGTTTTCCTGCTACTGGTAACATGTAACCCAGTACAACCTGCTCCATGTCCTGCTGCCTTGTAGGATACGCTTTTTTAGGCAAAGGCTAGGAGAAGTTAACTCCGAATTAAAACACCCCCTGCCTTGGGGCTCTTGGTTGAGTAAAGGCTAGAGATGGTGTCTCGATAAAAATACTCATCTTGGGCAGATGTTACATGCATCCAGCTGCTGTCTTGTAGAAGGCCTCCTAGGCAAAGACTTAAGGGGTAAACAGATTCTATCTGTTGACCAGCCTCGCACCCCTTCCTCATCTATTAGGCTGGCGCAGATGTATTTTTAATACATTGTTTCCAGTTTAGGATGTTGAACGCTGGATCTTCTTGACTCAATGCGTGGGTATTGCTTGTGTCTCTATTTTTATGACTGGGCAGCTCATTCTATTATCTCCTAATGAGGGTACAGCTCTAAAACTCAGTTTTATGGTTCTGAGGCCGGCTGGTAGTCAGGTTTCCCGAACTCTGTGGTAGCTCTCAGAGAGGCTGATCAACAGCCGAAAAATATCAGAGTACTAACAGTGCCATGTTGCGCATGGATGGTGTCCCTGTTTGTACTTTTGGTGTGCATTGCAGAGGCCACATTTGGAGCCCTTTGTTACGGCTTAGGGTTTATTAATAGTAATGAGGCTATTGCTTAGTTGTTAAATAGTGTACTGAGTACTATCTATACTTGAGTTAAGTTCTTTATAAATTTAAAATGACTAAAGTACCTAAAACTAAAAAACACAAAAAACCATCGTCATCACCAATTTCTATAAACCTATCATTTACTAATATTTGTGGTCTTCGAAGTAACTTTTCTTCTGTTGAGTCTTATCTCTTGCAAAGTTCACCAGACCTACTTGCTCTTTGTGAGACTAATTTGAGTTCGGCTGTCCCATCTTGTGATCTTAGTGTTGATGGTTATCTTCCTTTAATTCGTAAAGACTCCAATAATCACATGCTTGGCCTGGGCATCTACATTCGTAAGAACTCACCCATTTGTCGTGAAACTAGGTTTGAATCTACAGACTATTCATTTATGTGCTTTCGTTTAGCACAACTTCACTCTATTGCCTTTCTCTTTGTTCTATATCGCTCTCCTTCATCCCAAGATTGCACTATTCTTGATGCTATTTCTGATCAAATTGACCAAGCCCTCTCTCTTTATCCATCGGCCAATATCGTCGTTGTTGGTGACTTTAATGCCCATCACACCGATTGGCTTGGCTCTAGTGTCAGTGACTCTGCTGGCGTTAAGGCCCTCAACTTTTGCCTTTCTCAATCTCTAACTCAAATAGTCAACTTTCCAACTCGTTTTCCAGACAACCCTAATCATTTACCTTCTCTACTCGACTTATGTCTTGTTTTGGATCCTAGTCAGTGCTCAATTTCTCCACATTCACCCTTAGGTACTTCTGATCACGGTTTGATCTCTCTAAAACTATTATCAAACTCTTCTACTTCATCAGAATCCCCCTATCATCGTACCACATACAACTACCTTAAAGCTGACTGGGACTCTTTCCGTGATTTTCTTCGTGATGGCCCTTGGGTAGAAATCTTTCGTCTTCCCGCTGACAAATGTACTTCTTACATAACTTCGTGGATTCAGGCTGGCATGGAATCTTTTATTCCCTCTCGACGATTCCAGGTCAAGCCTCACTCTTCTCCTTGGTTTTCCTCACATTGCGCTGCAGCAATTTCTAATCGAAACCGTTACTTCCATATCTATCAGCAAAACAATTCTCCAGAAAACAGACATCTGTTCACTATCGCCAGAAACCATTGTAAAAAGGTTTTGTCTGACGCCAAAGCTCGCTATTCTCAGGTCATTAAATCTCGTATCTCATCACAAAAATTAGGCTCTCGAGACTTCTGGAGAATCTTTAACAGTATCAATAATAAGGGCAAATCTGTTATTCCTTCTCTCTTGTATGGTTCAGACTTTGTCACCTCACCTAAAGACAAAGCTGAATTGAAGCTCACTTGAAGACAAAGCTGCTAAGAACTTTTCATCAGTATCATCTCTCGATTCCACTAGTTGCGTTTTACCTGACATAGCTGTCAAACAGGTTGATCCCTTGCTTGACATTCGCATCACTTCAGCAGGAAATTACTTTTCTGTATCAAAAGTAATTTCCTGCTTAGACTCTTCAACAGCTTGTGGTCCTGACAACATTCCTGTTGTAGTCTTGCAGAGGTGTTCTCCGGAGCTTTCATCCATACTTTCAAAACTATTTAACAAGTGCTTATCAGAGTCTTGTTTTCCATCATGCTGGAAAGCAGCATCTGTTATCCCTATTTTCAAAAATTCTGGAGAGCGATCTGATTCATCTAACTACCGTCCCATTAGTCTTCTTCTTGTCATAAGCAAGGTTTTTGAATCTTTAATCAACAAACACTTAATCTCTCATCTTGAATCAAATAACTTACTTTCTGATCATCAATATGGATTTCGGTCTTCTCGTTCTACAGCTGATGTGCTAACAGTAATAACCGATAGGTTTTACCGTGCATTAGATAGAGGTGGAGAGGTTAAGGCTATCGCACTTGACATTTCTAAAGCTTTTGATAAAGTTTGGCATGCTGGTCTTCTCCATAAGCTTTCTTCTTATGGTGTAGCTGGTAACATCTTTAAGATTATTGAGTCCTTTCTTTCCGATCGTAGTATAAAAGTTGTCCTCGATGGACAACACTCTTCTTCACATCCTGTAACTTCAGGGGTTCCTCAAGGTTCAATCCTTGGCCCTATACTCTTTTTAATTTACATTAAAGATCTTCCAGATATTCTCACATCTAAGGTGGCATTATTCGCTGACGACACTACCATTTACTCTTGTCATGATAAGAAGCCTACACTCTCTGATTGCTTGGAGGGGGTATCTGAGCTTGAAAAGGATCTCACTTCTGCTACAGCTTAGGGCTCACAGTGGCTGGTGAACTTTAATTCAGATAAAACTCAATTTTATTCGGCCAATCGTTATCAAAATAATTTAGATCTTCCTATATTTATGAATGGTAATGTACTAGATGAGTCATCTACCATTCATCTTCTAGGATTAACTCTTACTTCTGATCTTTCTTTTAAACCGTATATCAAATCCATTGCAAAATTAGCATCTGCTAAGGTTGCATCTCTTTATCGAGCTCAACACTTTCTTACTCCAGGTTCTATTCTCTATCTCTATAAATCTCAAATCCGTCCCTGTATGGAATACTGTTGCCACATCTGGGGCGGATCTTCTAATGATGCTCTTTCTCTTTTAGACAAGGTGCAAAAACGAATTGTAAACATAGTTGGACCTGCTCTGGCAGCCAATCTCCAACCTTTGTCACATCGTCGTAATGTTGCTTCTCTTTCTCTTTTCTACAAATACTATAATGGGCACTGCTCTAAAGAGCTAGCGTCCCTTGTGCCATCTACTAAAATTCATTCTCGTGTTACTCGCCATTCAATTAAGTCTCATCCTTTTTCTGTGACTGTTCCTAAGTGCTTCAAAAACTCTTATTCTTCTAGTTTTTTTCCTCGAACATCAGTTCTTTGGAATTCGCTTCCTTCATCTTGCTTTCCTGATTCATATAATTTGCAATCTTTTAAGTCATCAGTCAATGGTTATCTTGCTCTACAGATTTAGTCTTTTCTCTTCCAGTAACTTCCAACTCTTATAGTGGTTGCTTGCAGCCTTGTTGGAAGTGAAGATGTTAAAAAAAAAAAAAAAAAAAAAAAAAAAAAAAAAAATCTCTTAAAGAAAATATTTTTGGAATCCAATTATATCTAACCTATTATTTTTCAAACAATATTAAAATATTATCAATTTGGTTATCAAAATTATTAAAAAAGGAATTGCAATAAATTGAATTATATATTAATTTATATTTGCAATAAATTATATTACAGGGTTCTTTTTACTAACTAGCTGATTACTGTATCATAGGTTTACGATGTTGCACGTGCCATTGTTCTAGCCACTCATGATCCTACTACTGCAAACAAAACTTATGAATTATATGGGTAAATCTTTAAATTGCTTCTTTATGTAAAATTTTTTCACTAACTTCAATATTCTGATACTAAAAATTTAATTTTTAGACCTGAAGAATATTACCTTCATGATATTGTCAAGTTTATATACAGAATGATTAAAAGACCTTGTCGAATAATTCCTGTTCCTCAATCTTTATATGAGTAAGGTTACCAATTTTAAAAGAATGTTTTAAAGATTATTATTTTTTCAAGATATTATTTGAAGATTTTAAATGTTATTGTTATAGCAATTTTTAGTATTAGAATTTTAAACTTTGAGATCTCAAATCATTAGGGAGAAATCATGTTTTTTTACCATGACATCTTGAAAGTTTTTTTTAAATTGTTTTTTTAAGACTTGCTGGATACATTGGTGAATTTTCACCATTTGACAAAAGAATTACCAAGGACTTTGTGATTCGGGTATGCACTTATAAATTATTAAAAACTAGTAATATTTAATAATTATCAATAATAAAAAAATAATGAATTCTTTATAGCAATTCTTAAGTGACGATGTTCTGGAAGATGCATTTACATTTGAAGATCTTGGAATAACACCAGTTAATGTTAATGATGCAGCATTAAATATTTTACGTCGCCACCGACACTACTACCATTACTCAGAAATCATGAAAGAAGAAGAATTTATTAAACCAATTCAACAGTAACATTCAAAAACCAATGTGTAAATAATGCAATTTAATATTGACCTTCATCCCACTAAAATTAATATTTTTTTTGGGGGTTGGAATTTTAAATAAATATTATCTCCACAATAGATATATCTGTCGTGTATTTTTCTTAACATGTCATAGAAACATGTCATATGTGTATATATATATATATATATATATATATATATATATATATATATATATATATATATATATATATATATATATATATATATATATATATATATATATATATATATATATACATACATATACAAATGCAAATACAAATATTTATAATTTAGGTTTTAAAAAAATAAAAAGATTTTTTCAAGACAAGACTATCTACTAAAAAGAAGAATATAACCATTTCTTCTAACAAATATCCCTTAAAAACAAATTTTTAGTTCATTTTAAAAGTATTAAAAATGATCTAAAAACAAAGAACCTTTTGTATTTCCAACAAAAACACTAGTTAACCTAGGTTACGGAACTGCAAATACATTTTAATCAAATTCAAATTTATGCCTTAAATTTTTATATTTCTTAAATTTTCTTAAAATCTTCGAAAGATTATAAGTGCCCTAATATTTTTCTCATAAAATTTTAATTTTTTTATCAATAATTAAGAAATAATTATAATATTAAAAGTTAGTTTTATATTTGATGTAATATTCTGAATGTTGATGAATTTTTGTTTGTGTCTAAAGCTTAAGTTAAGCTATACTAACTAATGTTTTAAAATAGCAATTTTAAAAATGATTTTTATTAATTAACTGATAATGAAGTTTCGTTTAAGCAAATAGATATCAAACATATCAAGAGATTTGTCTTACCATATTTATATATGTTTATAAGTTAATTTTTGTCATATTATATCTATGTATCTATAAGTTAACTTAATGATAAATTAGTAAATATATCACAATGTAATACAAAAACCAATGTAAGTTTGAATTCTTTTTTTCTTCTGTTTTATGTATATATATTAAAGTTCTCAAATTTTAAATGATTTTTGTAAAATAAAAGCCACATATTCATCTGGTTGAATTCACACTAATTATTTACAATTTGTGTATTTTTCAGACACTAGTTTGATTTTATTAATAAAAATACTAGTTGTTAAAGTATGTATAATTGTAAATGTTCTATAGTAGGTAGTTATAGTTCATTTTAATTTTATATCCTTTAAGTTTTGTCATATAACAATAAGTATTTTAATGCTTCTAATTTGATTGCTTTAATTCTTCCATAATGTTATATTTATATAAAAAAATAACATTATCAAAAATTGTCTAAAAAACACAAGTGTAAAACCATGGATATTAAACATAGTCGCTGTGCACCGGCAAAACAAATCAAAGTTGCTGGTGTACAAAAAAACCCACCCTTCAAAAATCAATTACTTGAATAAAAAACTCTCAATCCTGGGTACTATAAAAAAAACGCTGCAGAGCCTCTTGGTTCACAACACTAAAAGTTTCTCCATCAGGGGATTTTATATACACCATACACACATAATTTCATATATATTTATACACAATACTCATTTGAAAAGAACTATGCCCCTGTACCAAGTTGACCACCACAATATAGAAGAACCAAAAATGGATTAGTTGCCACCAAAAAATAATATTTTTATACCCGTTCACCGCAGCAACATGCAAAGAGCAAACCAACCCCTTGAACTGACTCCCAGAACTGCAACCGTGTAAATGATGCGTTCATCTCAGCAACTCAGTAAAAACTGAGCTATGTGGGATCTCCGGTGATCCACCTACATCCCCATGGAAGGCTCCAGACGGAGCCAAAGAGCACCATGGAACACAACAGAAAGCCCCCCAATGCTCTGGAAAGTGATAAAATAGCCACACTGTACAATAGAACATACCGTACTATAGAACATTCCGTAAAACTCCGAACCGCTCCAGAAAATTCTGGCCCACTCTGGAAAAATGTGGAACATTCCAGTTAACGACAAAACAGGCAACAGCAATCCCTGGAACACAACAGAAACCAACAAATATCACATCATAGGAAACACTCAACTCGTCCCCCAGACCATTCTGATCTCCAGCGACCCCTGAGGTCATCTGCACCCCCACCCCTGGGGGTGAGGAACAACTCTGGACTTCACAAGAAACACTCTATCTGGCCCCCTGACCCAAAAATGACCATTTGAAAGCCCCTGCGACCCCGGGTGGCCTCCAGTGACCTCCAAGGTCAACTTGACATAGCCTATGTCACTCCCTGGGTCATGGGGATCATCCATGCCAAATTTTAAGTTTTATAGGACTAACGGTCTGGCTGTTAACTGGGAACAAACAATCAAGCAATCAATCAGAATTGACAAATATATATAAGATATATATATATATATATATATATATATATATATGTATATATATATATATATATATATATATATATATATATATATATATATATATATATTATATATATATATATATGTATATATATATATATATGTATATATATATATATATATATATACATATATATATATATATATATATATATATATATATATATATATATATATATATATATATATATATATATATATATATATATATATATATATATAAATATATATATATATATATAAATATACAGTCATGACCATAAATATGAGAATGCATTTTTTTATAGTATGGCTTTTAAAACCTGAATATAACAAGCAGTTAACACCAATAACAATTAATTTGTGCTTTAATTATAAAATGATTAAATTATTAGTAAAAAAGCATCTTAAAAGCGTGATTGTCTCAAAAGTCAATATTTGTCGGGCTGCCCTTAGTTGGCTATCACAGCCTTTATCCTCTCAGGCATTGAATCAACTAATTTTTGGCAATTTTCCAGCGTTATTTCTTGAGTCCAAACAGTCATGATCGCTTTCTTAACGGTGCTTTCAGAACTATGATTCTTCATAGCAACTTTCCGCTTCATCATCATCCATAAATTTTCTATTGGATTAAGGTCCGGGCTGGCATTGATGTGTTGACCCATTAGCCAATGGCTAACTGCTCCAGTGCGGTGGCAGGGAGCTCCTTCACAGCCCCAAACGATCGTAGTTGGAGCCTGTTTTACAGTAGGGACTACATATCTGATATTGTAGCGCTGATTGACTGGTCTTCTAACATGCCTAGTGTAAGAGGCAAACTGGGAAAATGTTGATTCATTGGAAAACATGACCCTGCGTTATAAGGTTTGAAAGTACATTATAAGGTTTGAAAACAACTGTAATTATTATCTAACAACTATTATTTAACAACAGTAATTATTATCTAATTGTCTTTACATGATGAAGAATCATGAAACAATAGAAAATTTATCGTCGTTCTCATATTTATCTCATATTTATGGCCAATACTGTATATATATATATATATATATATATATATATATATATATATATATATATATATATATATATATATATATATATATATATATATATATATATATATATATATATATTTATATTTATATATATATATATACTGTATATACTGTATATATATATATATATATATATATATATATATATATATATATATATATATATATATATATATTTTTGTAGTAATGATCTTGAGAAATTCAATATAAAAGAAGAAAACCTAAATATACTCAACTAAAAGCTAGGTGGATAAAAAAAAGCAATTGCTTTTACTCAGCATTTTTGGAGTAATTGTTCAGCTTTACGTGAATAAAAACTTTAGCCAAATTGCTCAAATTTTTATTCATCTAAAGTTGAGCAATTTATTCTAAAAATGAGTTATTGCTCAGCTTTTTATGGTTGAAAATTTTAGCAAATTTCCTAAAGTCTTTATTCACTTAAGTCTGACCAATTACTAAGTAAAAGGAATTGCTTTTTTTTATTCACTCGGCCTTATGAAGCTATCTTTGCAAATATAATTAAAATGTTATAGTTATGAACATTATATTTATGTTGTTTTTTTTTTCAATTTTCAGTGAACTACAATCTGTTTGAATAATTTTTTTATAAATATTATTTATATTTGATTTTAATTAGTTTAAAAAAAAAAAAGTTGACAAATCAAAATAAACATGAATAGAAAGTGGAGTGCGATTGTGATTACTTGCTCAGATCCAGATTCTGCACAATCTTTTCAAAAAGGTAAGAGTTACCAAATTTTATTTATTTTTGAACTTGATCTAAATTATTTTTATTATATTTTTATAATATATACATTTTTGTATATAAGTTTTTAGTATTGATTTTATATGAAATTTAAGTAAAAATATTTTCAGATCTTTTATCTTTGCGAGAGAGCTCGAATTAAAAGTAAATTAAAACAGAGCTTTATTTACATATATTATTTATAAATAAAACTGCATAATTTCATTTTATAAAAATATGCAGTTTTATTTATAAATAATATATGTATGTATGTATGTATATATATATATATATATATATATATATATATATATATATATATATATATATATATATATATATATATATATATATATATATATATATATATATATATATATATATATGTATATGTATATATAAAAATAAAACTAGAGTCAAGATAAGAAACAGTTTAAAATGCTTTAGTTATTCCAAAACAAACAGTCATATATTGATAACATTTTTTTAGTGTGGTTTTTTTGTCATAATGATTCATTGTTACTTGCATGAGTTCTTATCTCACAATAAAAAAAAATTAAAACAAATATCTCAAAGTGTGTTTGAAAAAATAAGCATTTAGCTCCACATGTGTTTTTACAATATTTTTTTTATACATAAAAAATAAACTTTTGCATTTAAAATTGCATAGTTTTTAAATGCAAAAAATTAAAATATATTATTATTCAAAAGATCATTTGCTTTTTAAGAAATCAAACCAAATTTCATATAAATGGGGCAGAATTTTTGTAAAGTTCAAGTTTTTTTTAAAATAAAGTAATTATGAATAATAATAATAATATTAATAATAATAATAATAATAATAATAATAATAATAATAATAATAATAATAATAATATAATAATAATAATAATAGCAATAATAATAATAATAATAATAATAATAATGCAAGTATAAAGAAACTAAATATAAATAAAGAAAAATAATTGTTTTAAATGTAAATAACTAAATGGTATATTAATGTAAAATATCATTTGATTTTTTCAAAACAATATTTTAAAAAACTAAATATTATTTTAAATTAAAAGACAAAGTTTTGTTTTTATCTGTTTTTTAATTCTTTTGTAAAAGAGTCTTCTTCCATTTGCTAATTTGTTCCTAGTTCTCCTAATATATATATATATTTTTTTTATTGATATAAACAAACTATGCAAGTAATCAATAGTCGTGCGGGGTCAACTTTTTTAATTTACTTACAAACCAAAGTTCATCGATATTACACTAGGGTTTTGATTTAGCTCTATCAACCAAAAAGCTACTTTAAAAACAATGCATTTAAATAATTATTGATAGATTCTTATTTTCATTGACAAAAATCTTTTAAGTTTTATATTAAAATATACAAAGCAATTAAGGGCTAAATGGTTAATATGTTGTTTATAACAACTGCTAAACACACACTAAATTAAAGATGGATAAATTAAAGATTGATAAAGAATTTAAGACAATAAGTTGAGTTAAAAATTTAAAAATTGCAATTATATTTTTGTGTGTTAATAGTGAATAAAAAATTTGCAAAAAAAATATTTTTGTTGCATATTTTTAGAAGTAGAGATACGCCAACAGAAAATGCTGATTGATCCAGAGACAATCATCTTATGTGTTGTAGATCCAAGACCAAATATTGGTAGCGGTGGAGCAACACTCAATGCAATTTTACATATAACAGAACATATAAGTGCTTTGCAGGGATACACAGTATGTTTCTTGAATTTTAAGGATTTACGAATAGTTATTGATTCAACCTTCAACTCTATGTCATAAACTTATATGTTGTCTAGTAACTTTAAATTCTCAAAACTATCAACACATTTCTTTCTTTAATTTTTTTTTTTTTTTTTGGTTTAGGTTATATCGTCAGATGTTTTGCAAAATAAACACATTTTGATTGTGCATATGGTAAGTTGCATATGGTCTAGAATTATTAAATATTTTCATAATACAATAGTATATACTAATTTCATAATATATTAGCATATATACTATATGCTATAGTATTATGAAAATATTATGTAGTAAATCATAACAATGTAGATCATAGTAAGTAATCAAATTTATCAAATCCTTGTAAATGCGCTACATAATATTATGTAAATATGTTTTAAAGTAATGCATATAATTTAAGGGGTTGAGTACACCATATACTGCCTGTTCTCCAGCATTTATTTCTTTGCCAGCCTTTATTGAAAATGTAGATAATACTGGTGCTAAGTTTTCAAGCTTGGCTACACTATTTGATATTTTTCTACTTATGGCTGTCAATATTGTAAGTAAATTTTTATTCTTTTTTTTTTGAATAGTAATAATGATTGAGCTCTTTCAAATCTTCCTTGTGAAGTTAAAAGCTTACCTTCATAGATTTCGAAAGATTCTCCTGCTGGATTTTGGGTATGTAACTGTGATCGTATGCTTATACTGTCACCTAGCTTAAGTAGGTATTTTCTTTTTTCTTTTTTTTCTTTGCTGGTTTTTTAAACTTTGTAACATTATAATGCTGATAACATTTGTGTTATGCATAAAAAAAATTTTAATTAATTATTTTCTTTTTAGAGGTAGATTGGTCATGTGGCAATTCAGTTTATATGTTCAGTGTTCCAGTAGATATTGATATCGTGGCTAAAAAACATGGTGTAATAAAAATTAGCGATAAGGTATTATATATTGGTTAATTTTATGATGTTTTAAGTAAAACACATTTATACAAATATTAACATATAAAATAATGAATGTTATATATTGTTTATTTTTATGTGCTTTATTTAAAACATCATAAAATTGGTAACAAATTAATTTCCTTTTTTGATTTCAATATGTAACATCAAATATTTGTCATTTAGATTATAACCAAGAACAAGAGAAATATTTTAATTCAATTGAAATTTTTTAATGAAACATTTTTGATTTTTTAACATTATATGAATTTTATTAGCACTGTAATTTTTATTGTTAATTTTTTTCTTTTTTCAAATCTTTAAACCTTTGTTCTGAAGGTTGTGAGCCAATCAAGTATACTTTATGACAAATAATAAAAACTAAATAATGAACTATACTAATAATGGTCATTAAAAATTATAAAAACAATTTAAAAAAATTTTCTTTGACTAAGTTCTTTTTTGAACTGTTCAACAACTCTTTTGATTAGCTTTTTTATTTTTTTTCATATTTTTACTAATATCAAGTAATTATTTACAATTTACAAGTGGTAAATTGTAAATAATTACTTGATAATATAAAAAAAATAATAGAAAAATATAAAAAAGATAATAGTTATGAGACAGGATAATAGTTATGAGACAGGATAATAGTTATGAGACAGGATAATAGTTATGAGACAGGATAATAGTTATGAGAACCTGTAAAAGAGAAAATCTTATCATCAGTAATCTTTTGTTAAAAAATAAAGAGCATATTGTTAGAAAAAATCAAGTAATGAATCTTGATCAACAATAAGCTCAGTTATGTTGAATTTGAGTTTCTGTATTAAGGTTTATGACTCCATTTGATATTTTACAAAGAATATTTTTGAAAACCTTGTTAAATAATTAGTACTGCATGTTTCTGTTGTGTGACATTTAAGTTAAGATTTGGACTACCCCAAACTATATTAATATATCATAAGTAACTGTTTATGAACAAAACTTTATTAATATTCTGCTGCGCCAATCCCCAAATAAATTGGTCAATAAAAAAAAAAAAAAAACATAAAACAAATAAAATTCAATTATAAAAACTGTATAAAGCATTGAAAAAAAAAAACTTATTCTGTGTTTAAAAAAAATAATTCAAGTCAATTAAATTTGCATTTTTGCAGTAATTTAAAAACATTTAGTTTTTATGCATTTTCAACTAATTTAATGGTTTTGGCTTAGAAAATACAGATAATTGAATAAAAAAGTAAAATTAGTTAAACTGACTTGGTCAAAAGAATATTTTAAATTATATATATATATATATATATATATATATATATATATATATATATATATATATATATATATATATATATATATATATATATATATATATATATATATATATATATATATATATAATATTTAGGGCCTATTCTAAATAATCTAGGAGGGCTACATTGGGTATTACATTCAGTATGTAATACCTGTAGGGCCTGCTCTAGCCCACCTAGGGGCTTACCTAAATTAATAAATGCATACAGGCCTTGTTATGAAATTTTGTTCCTTAATTAAAAATTGTAAATGTAACTTTATTATATATACATAATTATTTAAACTTATACTATTTTTATTTCTTAAAACATTCATAACACAACATTATCATTTTTGTGTTTGCTTAATAGTTATTACATACAATTAAATGTAAAGCGAACATAAAAAAGTAACTTAAATTAAATTTGATAAAAATAGTTATTTTTTCTTTAACATAGATTAGTCATTTTAAAGTAAAAAAATAATAATTCTAAAACGGAGCATTTTAAATTTTTAAAAAAATTTAAATTAGTTTTTATAAAATAAATTTTAATTTAACAATATTTAATTATAAACTTAATTTAAATTACAAAATAAGTTTAAATTTAAATTTTTTTAAAAACAGAAAGTAGAAAAAAATGTTTTAATGCCTAATATTTTCTGCATAAAATATTTCAATAGACTGTTTAAATATTCCAATTAAATTTCTGTGAACTTTGTGTACTTATACCTTGATTGACCATAGATAAATCTATTTTTTTTAATTTTGGGATTTTCATTTGTGGTTTGTGCTTTTTTTTAATTTTGTGGTTATTTTCTCTACGGCTTCTATTATAAAACAGTATTTCTATGGAGACCACATGTAAAACATTTGTATAAAAGTTATAACTCTATATAGCATTGTAACAAAATATGATAAATAATAAAAATAATTACAAAAAGCATTATAGAAAATTTGGATTATACTTACTTGAAAACTAGAAAATTTAGAAGAAAAAAAATTATTAAATATTATCAATGCTATTTTCATCCTAAATTTATAGTAAAGTTTTGATTTTTTTGTTTGCACTTGCTGAAAATCTTGGTAAGAAGTAAACAATATCAGGTTATTTGTAGTAAGTTGGTGGTTTCATGCTATATGTAGTAAGTTGAAATTCTCTGAACATTTGCAGTTAACTAAAAGCCTGGATTGTAGTTTATGCCATTTGTAATACATTGATAATCTTAAGTTTAAATTATTGATATTAAATTTATCATATGATTATTGATATGATGATTGCAATTATTGGTATAACTGATTGTAAAAAAAAAAATTTGGTGATTATAAAATTTGCTGGTAAAAATGTTAAAAAATGTTAATGTTTATTAACAATAACAATCAACTTGTTTTTTAATAATAGAATGAAGTTGAAGACATTATTTATAAAGGGACTGAGGAGGATCTTCAAAGTTGTAAATTAAAAGATGGAAAAGTTCCTGCTGTAAGTTTATTTTTAAACCATTTACAAGTTTTGCTTTCAATAATTTTTTCAGTTGCAAAAAACACAAAACAAACAAGCAATGATCATCACTCTTGGTTTTTTACAATATTTTATATAACTTGCTTTCTTGTCGTTTTTTTATTATTTTTGTGTGTGTCCGCGCAAAACAAACATGAGGTCAACAGTAATAATAAAAGAAATTGTTAAAATAAAGTAATTAAAACAAACAACACAAAACAGACTTTAGTTTAGCGTAAATAAAAGAAATTGTTAAGAAAAGTAATTAAAACAAACAATAAACAACAAACTTTTAGCGTTTTAGTTTAGCATAAATAATTTATTTTTAAATTGTTTTTTTATTTTTTACTGCTAAGCACAAAATTAAAAGTATATAAAAACGTTTTTGAAAGCAACATTTTAAAAATGGACTAAAAAGTAAAAAATAAACTATTTCACAGGATCAAAAGGCTTAGTCTACATACACAACCTGAAATATCCATTAAAGTCTATGACTGAAAATGTTAGGCAACTAAGTAAAACTTGTTCTGATTGGCGCCAACATTTTCAGTCATTGACTTTAATGGATATTTCAGGTTGTATGTAGATTAAGTTTACTTTAATGGGTATTTCAGTCCTTGGATCCCAAGAAATAAATTATTTTTTTCTTTTTAGTCCATTTTTTATTTTTTTTTTTTCTTTAATGATTGTAAAATTCCTAAAATATAACTTTTTATATTTAATGTATCATATCAACTTTTTTTATTGATTATAGGTGTGTGGATTAGTCTTCTTAAATACAGAAATTGCAAACATACTTTTAAACTTATGTGTAGTTCCTCCCCTTGAAAATTGTACATACCTTGGACTTGATGCTGGATATGCTGAAACCAAAAATGTAATTTGTTTTAGCAATGTATTTATTAACAATTTTGAAATATTATTAAAAATAAAAAAGTTGTTTGTATTAATTTAAATTATTTATGATTAAGTTTATTTATTATTTTTACTAATTATTAATTAATTAAAGAGTTACAAATATTGAATGTTATTATTAATATAAATAAAACTTCAAATTTCAGTTAATTTTATTTTATATCATTTTTACTTTTTTTTTTTTAATTTGTGTTTTATTTTTATTTTCAAGCTAAAGCTATATTTTATAATTACAATAGTATACTCAAGTAAGAGATTTGGTTCTACATTTTATCAGCTCAAAGCAGATATCTGATGGCTGCTTGGCGTGTTTTAAAATAATAGTGGTCTATCTCATGGCAGAGTTTTTTAAATAACATTTTTGGATAAATTAATTTCCATTTCTTTTCTTTTTTTAATTAAGAGTTCAATAAAATGTTATTTGAATTCAAACTTTAAAAACCAAGTAATTCAAAATTTGAAAATCCTGAAAAGAGCTATAATATGTTAACTCTTTTTAAAATTTGTGAAATTAGTGTTTTCGTTTGTATTATTAACCTTTCAAAGAATATTTACCTTAGTAAATATTCTTTGAAATTAGTTTTACTGAGCATTTGATAGTTAGTGTGTTATCTTTTCTTTTTTTAAATTGAATTTCTCTGTACTGGTATTGTTTTGGGACATTTTGCCTATATCTATTTAGCCAATTAAAAGCATTTTCAAGCTTCTGGCTACTCTAAATATTTATTAGTAATATAATTATTATTGTTATTTTTGCTATTTTTTTATTACTCTTTTATTTTCATTTGTTATTGATTAATTTAAAACTTAGATTAAACATTTTAGGTCATTTCGAGCCTAGTTTTTTTTTTAAATTGTTATTCACCTCCCTGAAGCTTTTTTACTTAATACTTTTATTTTAATTTTTATTGCTTTATTGTGGTTACTACCTCTCAGCTATTCTACTCCAAAACACAAACAGATGATTAAGGTGACTAGTTAAGTGCAGTACTCCTGGGGCATAGCGGCCCCTGGTACTACTGCAGGATCAAAGTCAGAACTTCTTGGTTAGTAAGCAAGTGCTTTACCACTTCACCACTACCGCAACTGAACCAGAATTTTGATACAGTTCAGTTATAGAAATGTTCAAATATTTTAAACTGTTAAAGTTTATTACTAACCCATTAATAAAGCAATGAAAGCATATTTTCTGTGATAAAGCAATGAAAGCATCTTTTCTGTGATAAAGCAATGAAAGCATCTTTTCTGTGATAAAGCAATGAAAGCATGTTCTCTATGATAAAGCAATGAAATCATCTTTTCTGTGATAAAGCAATAAAAGCATCTTTTCTGTGATAAAGCAATGAAAGCATGTTCTCTATGATAAAGCAATGAAAGCATGTTCTCTATGATAAAGCAATGAAAGCATCTTTTCTGTGATAAAGCAATGAAAGCATCTTTTCTGTGATAAAGCAATGAAAGCATCTTTTCTGTGATAAAGTCTGATAATAAAGTAACTTTGAACCAAGTTTTTCATTTGTTTAAATATAAGCAACAGAGGGGTAAAATTTGCTATTCTTCTAGTGAAAACCTTGCACTCCATCCCGTATTAGAAAACTATAGTTTTCCTGAAGCTTTTTTTTTTTAGGTTAGTTTTAAAATCTGTGCGGCCGTGGCGCAGTGGTTAGAGCGCCTGTTTTATAAGCAGGAGATCCAGGTTCGAAACGAGCCTTGGACATATTTTCGCGTCACGGTAAGGAAAGAGACGTGAACTTCTTGGTTAAATGCACTTCTACGGTGCTCTGTGACTAAGGCCACGCGGTTAAGGTTTTTTTCGGTTCGGTTTTTTTCGATTCGGTTTTAAAAATTAAACTAACAATTCGGTTTTTTTCGGTTTGGTTTAAATTTATTTTTGATCGGTTCGGTTCGGTTTCGGTTAAAAAAAACCAAAGTTTTAGAGGTCATTTATTAAATAAATTTAGACTTACAGATTTTTACCAAAAAAAACTAAAAATTAATTTTTATTTTCTTAATATTTTCTTTTATATAAACCATTTTTTCAACATTCTCAACCGCCAACGTAGTTCTTCTGGCAGTGACAACGTTACCAGCACTAGAAAAAACCCTCTCTGAAGTTGCAGAAGTTGCTGGTATACAAAGATATTTTCGTGCATAGTTTGATAAAATTGGGTACTGCAACTTCATAGTTTTCCACCACTCTAAAATATCTGTCGTTTCTTCAGCTGTTTCGGCTGCTAAATAATGATCAATTTCTAAACCCAATTTAGTCATCGTTGAAGCACTGCGTTCTAAAATATCTTGTTTCAGTCTTTTTCTAAGCAGTTCATGGTGATTAACTTTAACATTTTCATTACTTTCATTGTCTGTTTTGCTGCTACTCATTGAAGCTTTTTCATGTTTTTTCTCTTTTTCCTGAGTCAATATTGCTTCTTTTATTTCATCACATTTTTTATATTCAATCAAATGCAGGCCTTTGTAACGTGGATCTAAAAAATTTGCAAAACAATTAATCAACTGCTCAGCACCGTTAAGAGGATATCGTTCCTGAAGTTCACAAATCAGCTTTTATAAATGTTCTTGTTGGCTTATGTTTGTGATGTTGATGGGAAAGAAGCTCTTGGTGCAAGGAATATAATTCAGGTATCACATCTTGGATTGTTGGTCTTTTATCAGCTGATAAAGTTACTGAAATGTTGTATATTTTTTCAAGAAATGGAATGCTGTATTCTAATGTCTTCCATTGATCATCTGAGGGACATTACCTTTCAAACTCATCATTGGTTTTTGCAAGTGTTTTGATTGCATCTTTGACTTCAAGGACTGACTTAATGCACATGTAATCAGAATTCCATCGAGTTGTACATGGAACAATCAATTTCCTGGGCTTAATTCCAAGTTCTTCACAAGCATCTTGAAGCTTGGTCGTAGAGAGAGCACTTCTATGTGTGTGTGATGCTAAATCTGTACAGTTTTTTATTGCTTTAGAAAGTTCAATTGAATTTTTGATTGCTTTTAAAATAACTAGCTGGATTGTGTGATCATTGCAGCGCAATTCAGAATTAATTTCATCACTTTCTTTAGCAGCTAAAACAATGTTGCTCCCATTGTCATTAACGCAGGCTCGATGGACTTCTTCATTTAAGTTTAAATTAGCAATAAAAGCGTCCAGGTTTACTGCAATTGCAACCCCAGTGTGTCTACCAGTAAATGGTGTGCAAGCAATGAGAAAACTTACTAAACTAAAGTCTGAACTAATGTAGTGAATTGTAAGACTCATGTAAGAATCATTGTTCCGACTTGTCCAGAGATCTGTTGTAAAACTAACTCCAGTTACTTCTGGAAAGTCTTTGAGAAATTTTATTTGCAAACCCTCCTTTACCTTTTCATACAACATAGGAAGCTTTTGGCGTCTAAATGTTGATGCAGATTTGACAGTAAACTTGCTATTTACTTTATCAATAAACTCTTGTGCTCCTTCATTGTCTAAAATTTCAAAAGGTAGACCAAGCTTGCAAATAAATTTTGTTAAATCTAGGTCAAACTTTAATTGCTTTGGATCATTTAACCCATATTTTTGGTTTTTTATAATGCAACTTTCAATTGTAGTTGTTTTTGTCTCCTTTTCTTTAAATTTTTGTTTATTAAGTATCTCTGTAGTTTTCAAAAGATGTTCTTTCCAAGATGCTTCATGTTTAGTTTTGACGTGGCTGGTTATTGTTGAAGTACTGCCACAGTTGATTTTGTAAGATTTAAAGCCAATTTTACATTTGGCTTCAAATTTACTTGACTTTTCAAAAAATTTCCAAATATCACTTTCTTTCGGCATCTTTAATGCAAATAAAATAAAAATGATTAGTAAGACAACCAAACCGTATAATAAACATAAACATAGTTCAATATAAATAAGTTTAACTAATAATTTTTCAAAATCCTTAAAATGTATTTTAATTATTTTTTAGAACATTATTAGTTACAATGCAAATATTAAACTATTTTACGCCTTGCTCCTAAAGGCATTAATAATATTTAAACAACAAATTATTTTGATTATATCAGTTTTATTATTTATACAATGAAAACAGTTTAGAAAACGAGGTTTCCAAAATAATAATATTATAAGATAAATATTATAAACAATATTAGAAATTTAAATAAGATTAAAAAAATACATCTTTTTAGAAAAAGCTTATACTACACGATATTGATATCCAACCCTTAAAAAATCTTACTCCATCATGGTCCGCAACATTTGTTCTAATTTCACGGCAAGCTATTTTATTATGTTTATTTTTCATTGTTCCCTTTTTAACTTTGCTTTTCTGCGGTTTGAAATTTCTTAAATTAAATAACAATTATATTTTATTTAAAAATTTGATGTCAAATAATGTTTTTGAAATTTTAAAATTTTAAATCGGTTTTTAAAAGTTTTTTCAGTTACGGTTCGGTTTTTATTTTGATTTAAATAATTAGATCGGTTCGGTTCGATTCGGTTTTTTTGTTTCGGTTTTCATTGAAAGAACGGTTCGGTTCGGTTAACTGCACGGCCTTATCTGTGACAAGACTGTTACGTCTTCTTGGGGCACCTAAATAAATAAATTTAAAAAAAAAAATTGATTTTTTGATATGAAATAAAAATGCTTTGTATTATTTAATTTAACTGACACAAACTCATGACAAACCTTGGAAAAACCCTTGAATATTCATCAATTTGATAGAATTCAATAAACTCTGCTATTATAAAACAATATTTCTATGGAGACAATATGCAAAACAATTGTATAAAAGTTAGGATTGTAACAAAAAATATCACAAAAAATGATAAATAATAACCAATATTCCTATTTTTTCTTTCTTCTTTTTCTTCATTTTTCTTTTCTGCTTGTTTTACAGAAGTTAAAAAAATTTGAAATTTGAAAGTTAAAAAATACTTCTGAGTATTCTTTACTGTCCAACTCTTTGGAGTGAGCATAAGTTGTAATTTTAGATTTTGACAATTTAATGTCTTGGTTGTTCAGTTTTTACTTGATTTATGTCATGATATTTTCTAAATGCCTGTTTTCTTTTCTTATAGTTAAAGCAATTTTACTTCTATCAAGTGCAGATATGTCTACATTTAATATATTGACAATAGCCTATTGTGTAACAGCTCTGTTACTAATTTTATGTTTTCCATGTGCAACTCAATCTTTTTTCTAAACAATATTGTTAGATAAGCATCCAAAACTTGCAATACTTAAATTAAGGTTATCATTTAATATAAGTCTGTCTACATTAATGTCTTTTTCTTGGGGTTCTTTTTTTTTTTTTTTTTTTTTTTTTTTTGTATCGCAATGTTTGCAGTGCAGTGTTTTTACTTTTTTTGCATGCTTTTTCAAGTTACAAAAAAATTAAAAATGTTTTCTTATCTATCTTCTAATTAAATTAGTTAATATGATGTTTTTAACAGGTTTTAGAGTCTTAACAAAAATAAGGCATTCAGACCTGATAAGCTTCACCCTGCCATGCTAAAAAATTCCTCAGTGGCGTTTGCATTTTCTTTAACGTTAATCTTCAAAGAATCGTTAGCTTCAAGCCAACTCCCAATTCAATTTAGATCTGCAAATAACTCCACTTTTTTAAAAAAAGGACAAAATTGTTGCAGGTAGTTATAAAGTAGTCTCCCTCCATTTTTGAAGGTTGAAGGAATTCTTGCAAAATTAAAAATTATTTTTCTAAAAATAATTTGCTCAGAACATCAACATGAATTCATAAAGAAAAAATCATGCACAACAAATCAATTGGAAACAATTGGTTTCATAACATTAAACATTGAAATTCATACTCCAATTGATGTTGTTACTGGATTTTGTTTTTACAAAATCCAGTATAACAACAACTTGAACGTAGTTGTTCATATGATATTATTAGTAGGACTAAAAACTTATAGTATTGATGGATTAATACTGAAATGGATTGCTTTTTTTCTTAGAAATAGAGACAGATAGTAATTAAGGGTGATATTGTTTGTAATTGGGTTGATGTTTCCATTTCCTTTGCAATCAAAAATTTTGTTGAAATTCAAATAAGTGCTTTGATGCGTTATGGATACATCAACAAGAGTTAAGCACTTTTCAAAAAATAAAGAAATACTTTTGATTCAGCTGTCAACTTATAAGATCTCTTTTTTAATATTCATTCACCCACTTTTTAAATTTGAAGTTTCGGTTTGGTCTCCATATCTAAAAGGAGACTGTAATTAGATTAAAAAAATGCAACACTAAGCAACTAAACTTGTTTCATCTTTAAAATGTCTCAAATATAAAGTTTTACTCATTGGCTTTAGTTTAACAACTCTAATTAAGAGAAGAAAAAATGGAGATTGCATCGTGTTGACAAGATAAACATTGGAGAATATTTTCCACTTGTTAAAAACTGTTTAAGAGGGGATTGTTTTAAATACCACAAAAAGTTAAATATCTTTCGAGGGAACATTACAAATTACAAATACGAATTACAAATGCATCGAATTTACTTCTAAATTAAAGTTGTAGCAGTGAAATTTTTTATTGTTTTAAATAAGTTTTTGATTGTTGGTTAAGTAGCAATCAAGAGTAACTTCTTTTGTAGTGTGTGGAACACTTGCTGGCTTTATCCAGTGCAATATGAACTATAATAACTGTTACTATTGTGGAATAATATCTGAATTTTTTGTTTTTCTAAAAGTATATATAGAATACTTGCTATCTTCAAGAAAATAATACATTCAAAAGTTATAAGCTTGTTAAAGAATTTTTGATTTGAAGAGGAAAATTTTATGCAAAATTATTCGTTTTTTATAGTGTTTTCTCAAAAAACGCATTAGATTTTGATCTGAAACTTTCTCCATACAAAAATGTAAATTTTAGCAAAATCTGAAATGGTCCACAAGGGACCTAAAAAAATTAGTCTCTTTGACAAGAAATGATCTGTTTGTTAAGAACCTGATAATAATATAAAAAATTTTTCAACATAAATTTTTTTTTTTTTTTACTTTTTTGTAAGTTAGTATTGTATATTTTGCAAGTGAAATATAAAGTTTTTAAAGTTCTATTAAAAAACTTTACTAAAAGTTTAATCAATAGAACTTTAAATACAAACACTAATCTTGGTCTTAGCTTGTCAAATATGGCTCAAGCACAAGTGCACTTATTAGGTCTCAATCTTTTTTAGATAAGTATCTCAGTAAAGGGTATTGTAGATTGGTCACTGTGATCATGTTACTTCTAATAGTTTCACATTTTTTTCTCTTAAGGGTCTTTTTTCGTTTCAAAAGTTATTTGTTGTGTAGAAATTTGCATGTGTCAATTTTAAATTTTAAAATTATCTGCTTAATCTTATCTGCTTTTGAAAGTATGATAAAGATTTATGATTTCTTAATATAATACAAGAAAATTTACTCAAGATTAAACATTTTTATAAATTTACTCAAGATTAAACATTTTTATAAATTTACTCAAGATTAAACATTTTAGGATTAAAAGATGTTTATTTAAATCAAAGTTGCTATATTTACTTTGAAATGTTTTTCAATTTTGAATTCTGCTTCCAAAAATTCCTGCCTGAGAATTTTCCTTGAGTGGCTATAAAAACTTCTGAAAATAAGTTGTTTATGCTAGTCAGTTGTTGCTATATGAAAATATAGGATTACATATCAATTTTAAATAGATTATTCTAGAATATACTTTTTTAAATCAACTTACCTGATAATAAGTGGATGGAACAAAGTATATATTATTGGAAGAGATATTGGGGTTATTCTAATTAATTTTGTAGAAGTTGATTACTTCTACAATGATTATTATGAAGTTTACAAGAATAATAATTTTTCACTAATAATTGTTTTGCAGAGAACTTTCATATCTGATGCTGAAGATTTTTATAGGGCAGACTCGTATATAGTTGTAAGTTATCAAGTTTCTCTTATATTGACTCATATTTCTGCATTTATGTTGTTGTTTTTTTACTTTTAATATTTAACTTTGAACTCATAACTTTAGCTATCACTATTCTTTGATTTGCTTCTATGCATGTGCTTAAACATTAAAGAAGAAGATTATATCAAAGGGAAACGAAGTGGAGTTTATGGCACTGTGCATTTCCCTGATCTTGAAAAAGTTGATAATGATTTGCGACAACAAGCAAGACAAATTTTATACAAATCATTAAATGGAATGACCATGAAAGCAGGTAAGACATAAAGCAGTCTAATAATCTATAAGACTGGTTATTATATATTTTATATTATACACATTAATAATATATAAGTATATTATATTCATATATAAGTATATTATATTCATATATAAATATATCTATATATATATATATATATATATATATATATATATATATATATATATATATATATATATATATATATATATATATATATATATATATATATATATATATATATATATATATATATATATATATATATATATATATATATATATACAATTACTAAAGCGTATTTTTATAAGCATTTGCTCATTTTTTTGCTTACCTTAATCCATACGGCTTTTTTAGAAAAAGAAGAAAAAAGGTGAAGAATGATGAATGAAACGATTGCTGCCCCATCCCTCAGTTGATGTAGCAGCACTCCACTGCGATGCGAGTCAGGCTATTGTTTAGTCGATGTATGTACTGAAGCCCCCAGCAGCAGGCTATTTCAGTATGACGTCAGATTGCTTACCTTAGTACGCAATACTATTTGTATATATATATATATATATATATATATATATATATATATATATATATATATATATATATATATATATATATATAGATATATATAGGCCTCACCGGGAATAAATAAGTGTGGGAGCAAAGAAAAGCTCTCATAAAATGTGTGAGTGGCGAGTCATGCGAACTGCTCCTTTAAACAGCTTTTTACGAAAACTTTTTGTTATCAGGCAAGCTATCTGTTTAATTATTAAATAAATTGATTATTAAATACAAAATTTGGTTTTACTCTTGTTAAAACCATTTGCTTGTAACAGTGTTAACGGAATATATACAAAGCAACCATCGTTTATCGTGCCATAGAAAAATTCATCAGACAAGCCTTTTTTTTTAGGTTTTCATACTAGCTATTCATTTCTTAATCAAATTTTGAAATCAAAAAAAAAAAAAAATCTGAACTTTGTTTTATTTCTTAATTGATGTAGTTTGCACTAAGAATTATTAACTTTTCTAATTAATATCTAAATGTAGAGAAGAAAGAAAGTGGTTTTTATTTATGAAAAATATATACTTTTGCAAGAGCCGTAAATTGCTCTAAATTTTCTTACAACTAATTGTAACCACTTTCAAAAACCAAATCCACTTCATAAACTGTTTAACCAAAACACAACAAAAGTCAGCTACATCTGCACAAGCAACACAGCAAAAATTATAAAGAATCACAACAATGAAATTATTTCAATGAACCCTACTGCCATTTTAGCTTACAATTGTAAACTAAGCAAAACCTGCCCTATAAACAGAGGTTGCAGAAAAATAAATATAATTTGTAAGTGCATTGTACCATTCCCAAGCGCACTCGACAAAGTGTATATTGGTTTAACAGAGGGGTTGTGGAAAATTAGATAGGCAAACTCGCAAGGGAGTGCTGCTACATCGACTGAGGGTTTGGTTTGGGCAGGCAGTCTATTATTTAAAAAAAAAAAAAAATTTCAGTTTTTAAACTTTTTCTGGTCTGGTTTATTAACGCGCTCTTTAAAACTACAGTTTATGGGAAACTCTTTTTGACTACCATGCAAGAGTATATAATATATATATATATATATATATATATATATATATATATATATATATATATATATATATATATATATATATATATATATATATATATATATGTATATACTTCAATTTATACCAAAAATTTAATTACAGGAAGTCACATGTCTTAACTACTGCAATTTTTCACACATTTGTGTAATTTGCTGACACTATTGTAAAAAGAATTCTTTAGAAATGGTTACTTAAGCTTTTTTTAAAAAAAATATTTTTTTCAAAGGAAAGTTAATGTAACTATTATTTGAGCTCACTTATTTTTATAGTTTTTTAGGAGAAACTTATTTTCGTGCCTGCATTTAGAAATCAATTCCGATTTTTTGTTTAATAAACATTCTTGGTTTGTATGTGTAATTATTTCAAATTTTTCTTGAAGACATAGTATGCATTTTTTGGAAATATTGTTATATGCAGGCACTGTTTTAAGGAGGGACCAATTCAGTGTAAAATCATCAATATTTTATCTTTTTGTTCTCATATATATTTTGACAGCATGGTGTTTTTTGAATACTTTTTATTTTTAAAAGATTGTTTATGATTGGCAAAACGTTTTTTCCATTCACCCTCTGTCATGCCAATATATTGTTTATCGGGTACATTCTTAGAGGAAACAACACATTTATATACCACATTTTTTGATAAGCAACTTCCACTCATTGGACATTTTTTTTTTGTTTACAATTACAATTTTCTGTAGTTTTTTTCATTTAGGATTTCTTTTTTATTTAACAAAGCATTATTGTGACTTTTTATAATTCTTTCCATATTTTTTGTGCAACTGTAATTGTATTTCGATTGAAAATTTTATGTAATTTATTAGAGGGAGGGAAATGCTTATCGACCAATTTTAAAAACGCTTTTTCTATGTTAATGGAAACATTTTTGCTATATGGGGGGTTAAACCAAATTACATTTCTAGTTCTATTCCGCTTTTTTGTATTCTTATTTTCAGAGTCAAATTTTAGTTCAAACTTTTCAAAACCTTTTAACCTTTTAAGGGCATCTTCAAATATCTGTTTGGAGGAATTGAATACATTTTTATTAGAGGATTTTTGATTTAACCTGTTATTAATTGAAATCAGGGTTTGTTTTAGAATTTGTGGTGGATGATTTGAGTTAATATTATTGTACAATAATTCATCGTTTGGTTTTTTGAAAGGCTTATATGAATTTTCAGAGAGGTTAAATCAAGAAAGTTCACAATTTTTAAGTTTACGTTTATTTTGATTTGAAAACCAATATTTTAAAAAATTTTTATAATATCTTTTCAAATCTTATCAAGCTGTGGACCAGATTTTTTACGCATTACTATTAAAACATCGTCGCGATAAAGGCCTAAATCATTTATATTGATTATTTTACTTAATAAATCTAAAATGTATAGTTCAACAAATTCACAAATTTCTGCTCCGTCATAACTGTGCATTGTTACATCAAAGCAGTCGTGTATGTTTTTCTTTTACCAAGTTTCCTTATTAAAGTAAATTAAGGTTTTTCTACAATGTTTTATTATACGAATTGTTTCTTCAGGAATAACTGTGTGGCTTTTTGCAAATTCGATTGTTTTATCTAAAATATCTGCAGTTATTGAAGGGTAAAAATCATTTATGTCAAATTAAATAAATTTACAGTCATCTTTTTTTTCGATTATGGAGAACCAATTTATAACATCAGTATAATTTTTCCACTGTTGCAACTTTAATTTATTTCTAAGAATATTATTAATGTTGTCCAATTTAATTTTGCTTACATGTCCAATCTCACTTTTTGAGTAAACCAATAACTTACAAAGAAGTTTATTTTGAAAGTTTGGATTATGGTCTTTTAGTGTTGCAAAGGCTTGGGCAGGGGCAGTATATTCAATTCTGTTATCAAGGTTTATTTTTATATATATATACTTTGTATAGTATATATATATAAAAATATATAGCAATACTTTGGCTTCTAATTTAAATGCGTTTTCCAATTTTTTAGGGGCTTTCTCATAAGAACTAGTAATATTGTTGCGTAAAATTTTTTCATAGTTTTCTGTTGTGAGTTGGTAAATGTTATTTGTTTTATCAGCAAAAACCAAAACATTTAGGTTTGATTTAATTTTTTTAACATCTAACATTAATTCAGTTTGAAATTTATTTTTTATAGGGCGAAACTTTATTGTTTTAATTAAATGCAATAGGTCATTTTCAAAACTTTCCAAATCAGGTATAAAAGGTGGGGTATTTTTTTTTTAAATCCATAATTATCATTATCTTGGTTATTATTAAATACATCATCTGTGTTTATATTTGGTTTTAAGAAAAAATGGACTTTCCAAAGAATTCTTTTAATAAAATGCTTAACTTTTTCTATCAAAGAAATAGTATAACTTTTTTCATCTAGTATAGGTATATTTTTCAACCAGTGAAATTATTAGTTTCCATATTTACACAGAATATTAAAATACAATTAAGAGTGCTCAATAAATGTTAATAAGGAGCATAATATATATTTAAACAATTTTTAAAAATGTATTCTACAAAATAGAGTGGTCAATGTTCTTAAAAGAACAGAGCAATTATAAATTAGTAGAAAATCACTTAACAAACATTTTTTTCATTTTACACTTTATTTCATCAACTAAGACTCATCAGAAATGAATGATCAAATTAATAAAACTTCAATTTATACCAAAAAATTAAATTACATGAAGCTGCAAATGTTTTAACTACTATTACAAAAAGAATAATATATATGGAAACTAAAAGACAAAAATATTGATGATTTTATACAGAATTGGTCCATCCTTAAAACAGCAACTGCATACAACAATATTTCCAAAAAATGCATACAAGAATGTTTGTTAAACAAAAAAATCAGAATTGATTTCTAAATGCAGGCACAAAAACAAGTTTCTCCTAAAAAACTATAAAAATAATTGAGCTCAAATAATAGTTACATTAAATCCCCCTTTTTTTAAAAATATTTTTATAAAAAAAAATAGCATTTCTAAAGAATTCTTTTTATAATAGTAGTTAAAACATTTGTGACCTACTGTAATTTAATTTTTTTGGGTTAAATTGAAGTTTTATTAATTTCATCATTCATTTCTGATGAGTCTTTGTTGATGAAACACAGTGTAAAATGAAAAAAATTTTTGTCAAGTGATTTTCTACTAATTTATAATTGCTCTGTTCTTTTAAGAACATTGAGCACTTTATTTTGTAGAATACATTTTTAAAATTTTTTAAATATATATATATATATATATATATATATATATATATATATATATATATATATATATATATATATATATATATATATTTTATATATATATATATATATATATATATATATATATATATATATATATATAACATTTTTTTTTATAAAAAAGGCCCCTCACCTTTTCAAAAAAAAGTAAAAAAATGTCTTTTTTTAAAAAAAAGACATTTTTTCACTTTTTTTTTGTTCATCAATCAAAAGAGTAATGGTAATAACTAAGCAACTTTAATTCAAAAATAAGAAACAGAACAGTTAGTAATCTTTACAAAATATACAAGACATGTTAAAAAATTTTTTTCCTATGATCTTCAGATTCAAAAATTCAATTTTTCTCAATTTCGCATGAAGCTCCTTCAATAGTTTTATAGCACGTTCAGCAATTCAGTAAGATCTGGTCAATTAATTACTCCTCTATTGACCAAGGAGCCTTTAAACACTTAATTGCTTTCTTGCATTTTCTCTTGATGCTGAACCAAGCATGTGCCCATTTGATGCTGCTCCTCTCTGATATCAGAAAGAATGCTCTTGCAGCATATATATCGCACATGAGTTCCTTCTTGCCTGATTAAATTTGGGAGTTTCTTCTAGATGATTTGAGGTGAATGTGAAGTTGTTTTATAATAAGAATATGCCTGACATAGTTATATAAGAACTTGAAATCATCTTGCCATCCAAGATTCTTGCCAGTGTTAAGATTATCTGTTGCAATGAGATAGAAATCAGCCTAAAGAGAGACAGTTTTTTGTTAATTTGTCATTGTCAGTGAAGGAGTAGTTAAGTTTTGGTTTGCTCGTTGGCTCTTGAATAAAAAAATTTATGACATGTTTCAGAAGAAGGTCATGTACATGGTGCTGACAGCCAATTTATTGTGGTTTCAGTCAACTTGGATTACCGCAATTTCAGAAATAATACTCATCGAAACTTCCTTTAGTTTTTTAAAAATTGTTGATTGGTTTTTTTTTACAAAGGCGTGTTTAAAAAAACTTACATTCGGCGTGTTTATAAAACTTAATTTATTGTGGTTACAGTAGACTTTTTTGAAATTTTTTCAATGTTTGCATATGTTTTAGTTTTAGGCTTTCTCCACTTGTCCTAAGATACTTCAAAACCAAATGTATTAACAGTTTGCAAGTGTTTATCGAACTGTTTTATGCACGCAATGCATTTGTTATAGGCACAATCGTATGTGTACGGTTCACAAACAAAGTTATTTATCATTTCAGATCCAACTTTGATTGAAGACACTTGAATTGATTTTGTTAATGCATCTAAGGCAAATCGCATATTTTCATGCAAAGTACAAACACAAACATTATGCGGAAATTTTTTAACTCGTATTACATTGCATGGACGAAGGTCGCAAAATTTGCTGAGTCCAATTTTTATGTTCTGATGCTTTTTCTTGAATAGCTCGAAAGCTTCTTTTAGCGTATAACATAAATGGCGTATTTGAATGTTGTTTGCTTTTCCATCAGATAATTGAATTCGAGTGACATCTTTTTTGTTTGGTGATACTTGAGAAACTTCATCTTTATTATAAAAGTTTACAACTGCTAAAACATCACTTTCAGAAAGGCCATACAGCTTTGAACATGCTGGAGGTAGACCCAAATTATCTTTACAAGCAGAGCTATTTGAAAGAATAGAAAGAATTTAAGATTCTTTTTTGAAGTTGGTAGTGCTTTTAAAACTTTTTTTAATGCTTTTCCTCTTTGTTGAACGTTTTTAAAGGATGAGCTTGGTCTTTAAGATTAATTTAAAAGTTTTTTTTTTAGAGCGCGACTTTTTAAAACTTTTAATTTTGCTTTAGCAGCATAAGCTGCTTTTTTTATTAAGATTGGCTTCCAATTTTTATCAATATTTCTTAGATCTTACTCATGACATTTCTTTCTTTTTATCAGCATTCCGAGAAACATAATTAGCTTGGTATTCTGCATAACGTTGTTTTTTTAATTCTAATTTTGATTCCATTTCTTAAAAATTTATAACTTTTTAGGAAAATGCCAACATAAATCCAATTATTTCAAATACTTACTAATAGCCCTTTACAATACTAAAATGATAAATTTATTTGAATTAAACCCACAACGAAATCTGAACATATGGATGATATTTTGACTTCCTTACCATGCTATTTTATAAAACGCTAATTATCACATTGATATGATCAGTGACGCAACAGCTTTTAAACTATAACTATAAGTTAATTTTAACCAAATTTTTTTTTTGAATAGCAAGGAAAAGTTTACATTAAAATATATAATTTCTAAAAAAATGTTGCCTTAAAGCCTAATTTCATTGTGATAATTAAACTTTTTTAGCTTTTAGTTCAGTGACGCAACCTAGTTTTTGCAGATAAGTATGTGACAAAAAAAAAGTTTTTTTACTCAAAAGATTTGTTCTAAACAAAAATATAGATATGTTTTGTTTAAAATATTGCAATAACTTGCCCTCAAATTTTACTCACTTTTTCGAATAATAAAAAGAAAAAATATATATATATATATACAATACATATATAAGATGTATTGAATATATATGAATATATATATTCAATTCATCCAAGAATACTGTTATTTTTGATAAAAACTATTATAATTTAGGGAATGCATTAAAATAGCAGTGGTTGTATTGATTTTAAAGTTACTTTATAAAATTTAAAAAGATTTTTGTAGTTTTTTATAGGAAAAAAAGTATTACTTCAATTATAATATATTCTTTATTTATTTGTGTATGCTCAATAGTAAAAGTATTTTCTAAACTTTTCAAAGTGGGTGAAGAATGTTATTGTACACCAGCAGAACATAACATTATTTTGAAGCATAGGTTAAAATCTACATCAATGATCTTCCGACAATCTTAAATCTAAAGTAGGTTTTTTTTACTGATGACTCAACTTTATACTCCTTTCTTGACAAAAATTTTTCTCTTTTTGAAGCTTAGAACAGGCAGCTGATCTTAAATCTGATCTCATTTCTGTAACAGATTCATAGTGTAACAGGGCTCATAGTGCTTGGATAGGCTCATAGTGTAACAGGGCTCATAGGGGCTTCAAGATTGGGGCTCATAGTGGCTTGTAAATTTTAACTCCAACAAAACTCAGTTATTTACTGCAAACAGCTATTGCAGTACTGTCAACATTCTTATATTAATGAATAGCTACTCTCTCACTGAGTCCTCTTCTTTATGTCTTCTTTGATTATTATTTACTACTGACCTTTTGTGGGAACCATATATACAATTGATTGCTAGGTTAGCATCCACTAAGGTTGCTTCTCTTTATTGTGCTCGCCATGGCGAGCACAATAAAGAGAAGCAATTTATTGACTCTACAAATACTAACTATATGCTGTATAAGTATTAACTATTCGCTGTATACTAAGTGAACTTGGATTCGTTTGTGGTTTTATAGTATACCACTTGTATTAAGTTAGAAAGACCTCCAAACCTGGATACCACACTAACTGAACACTAGTCAGTTAGGTTCATACACTTGTATGAACTCTTGTCTTTGCACTGCATGTTTAACTGGTTAATTATGTCATCACCGGAGATAAGAAATGGGTGCACTATGTAAACCACACCAGGAAGCACTAGTGGTTTAAGCTGTAACAACTATCAAAGCCAGAAAATTCACCTACACACCAAAACAGTGTTGCTTTTGGTTTAGTGGGGTATCCACAATGTTGTACTGTGCTCAACTTGACAAGTTTCAAGCAGAACTTTTAAAAATATTCCCAGGAAAACTGCAAAGTTTACTTCCCCTTTGACAATACCACATTTTGCAATGTGGGGATAACACTGCAATAATTATTGGAGCTTGGCTGGGAAGTGTTGCATCACATGCCTGACTTGCTAAACTGATTAAGTATCAAATTATATAACTGATCAGTATCAAATTATTATTTTTTCCAATCACTAAGCAACAGTTAGTGCAATGTATGTATGTATGTGTATATATATATATATATATATATATATATATATATATATATATATATATATAATTTTTAATTCCAACTTGTTTCTTAACTTGTTTCTCTGCAAAGCAGCCTTATTCGTCAAGGCTCGTGTTTTGGAGTTAGAGAGTTTAGTGGACTGTAGTGGCTTTCTCAATCTTGGGGAGGTGAATTAACATAATATATGTATATATGTATATATATATATATATATATATATATATATATATATATATATATATATATATATATATATATATATATATATATATATATATATATATATATATATGTATATATATATATGTACATATATATACATACATATTTGTTTATGTGTGTGTATATATATATATATATACACACATAAATACATGCACACATATAAGTTACTTTTCATTGTTTATTTTTTAATTATTTTAGTGGTTTTAAGGGAGGTATTCTTTTACTACATTTCCAACAATCCTGCTGCAATGCATTCCCTACTGTTAAACTGTCCTTATCAAGCAGCTGTTGAACATTCTCAAGCATCATCAGAATGGCAAAATACTTCTGTTAAAATAATTAAAAATAGATTTGCAGAAAGATTACTTGCTAAAGTTCCAGAAAATATCCAAGATGATGTATGTTTTGAATTACTTTTTAAACATTTAGATGTATTTATAAGTCTATTAGTCAAGCGAAATTTAAATATAGTACTCTAACAAAAATAAAATAAATTGTCATAGATAACACATTTAAGAATCATTAAATTTTAATTTGAAATTCAGAAAGCTAATTTTTATCTGTTTTTATTTTTTTTTAAATAATATTAAATTAAAGAATTTAATTATATGTAGAAAGTAGAAAGGATTGTTATTATCAATTCAATTGTGAATGTTGTTGCAGTCGGAGAAAATTCTGTGTTTCTTCACACATCTCTTGATGTAAGATTTTTGTTTTAAATGTATATTTAAATTATAATTTAAGTACTTAGTTAATCAGTTCATTTTTTTTTTATAACAGGTCATTCAATAAGTCCGTAGGATAAGTAAGAAAAAAACAACATTTTTGACAAAACTCAATTTTATTATTTAACATAGTTGCTTTTGAGTGCGATACAACGAGTATAGTGATTTTCCAACTTTTCAATACCACTTTTATAGTATAATTTCTCTTTCTTGTTAAAATAGGCTTCAGTTTCAGCGATTACTTCATTATTGGACAGCAAGCGTTCTCTTGAGATCTGAAAACAGGAAAAAGTCGCTGGGGGCTAAATCTGGAGAATACGGTGGGTGGGTAAACAGTTCGAAGCCCAGTTCATTCAAATTTACCATCGTTTTCATGGATCTGTGACATGGTGCATTGTCTTTTTTCTTTTGCAAATGTGGCCGTTTCTTGCGATTTATTTGCCTTTAATCGATCCAAAAGTGCACAGTAATAGTCGCTGTTGATGGTGGTTCCTTTTTGGAGATAGTCAATGAATTTTATTCCGTTCGCATCCCAAAATACAGAAGCCATCATCTTACCAGTTGACTGTTGCGTCTTTGCTGACTTTGGATTTTGTTCGTCAGCTGCTGTCCAATCAGGTGACTGTCTTTTAGATTCTGATGTATAATGGTGAAGCCGTGTTTCATCCATTGTCAGATATCGATGATATAATTCAATTTTATTGCAATTTAACAGCACCAAACACTCCTCTGAAGCATCAATTCATTGTTTTTTTTGGTCGACTGTGAGCTCACATGACACCCACTTTGCACAGAGTTTTTGCATACCCAAATGTCTGTGTAAAATGGTAAAAACACTATTATCTCTTTACAATGTCAGCTAGCTCATGTACCTTCAATTTGTGATCGTTCATAACTAATTTATGGATTTTTTTGATGTTTTCTGGAATAACAGCCTCATTTGGGTGTCCACTGCACTCTGCATCATTTGTGCTGGTACGACTATGTTTAAATTCAGCAGTCCACTTGTCTACCATTTGTCTCGATGGAGCAGAGTCCGGATAATCTGAGTGGACAGCACTTTTTTTTTTCAATAACAAAAGTCACTTCACACAAAATGCTATAACTTACAAATCAATAGTGAGATTGCTGACAAGTTTATACACGTATCGTTTGAAGGTTAGTACTAAATAAAAATCATATGGACAAAATTCTAGTAACGCCATCTATGTGTCATCCTACGGACTTATTGAATGACCTTTTAAAATGAGGTTTTGGATTTAATAAATGTTTTACTGTAAAGTTAAGGATAAGCCTCACTCTCCTCTGTGTGTGTGTCTATATATATATATATATATATATATATATATATATATATATATATATATATATATATATATATATATATATATATATATATATATATATATATATATATATATATATATATATATATACAGTGACGCTCAAAAGTCAGTTGACATTTAAAAAAAGTGAATATTTAGGCATTATTTTATAAATGAAAAGATATTTATGGGTAGAAAGTATTTAGTTTAATAGAAAATAAAAAGAATGTTTGAAATAAAAATAGAACAGCAGACGATTAACGTTAGAACGATAAAAAATTAGGTAAAACGCAAAAAGGTGCTGCTCAAAAGTTTGTTGACACCGACAAGAACACAAATTTAAACAAAATAGTTTTGTTATTTTGGTGCAAACGCAATCCATTTATATATATATATATATATATATATATATATATATATATATATATATATATATATATATATATATATATATATATATATATATATATATATATATATATATATATATATATATATATATATATATATATAGGGTGAGGCAAAACATAACAAATTTTCCAATTAGGGTCTGAGACAAATGAAAATTAGTGCTTTATATGAAAGTAATTATTACACAAAAAACTGATTTATAATATACATCAACGTTTTCTAGCAACTTAGTCTGCAAATTATCTCACTTTCAAGCCTTGCTTGCATATAGATTTTCGGAATGTTCACTACGAGCATGCAGAATTTTTTCAAAAGCGATTTTCCTGGTATTTCCATCATCATCAGCAACAGCTGCCACCAAGATGTTTTCCGGATGGCAAAAGTAGCTGTTGTTTTTCAATACTGGCACAACAATCTCCTGATCAGGCTTGTCAAGTTTCTGGTAATGGGACAACATGAAGAAGAAATTCTTGGCACCATCTTGGCATGTCAGATGAGATTTGATATGAAGCCATGACAGTGCATAGAAGTTCAGTATAAATGAAACAATACGTCGAAGATTATGGGAAGGACATTGTTTGCAAACATACAACCTCACCAAACGGTTGGTTTTAGTTAGCCATCTGGCATGACTGACTGCACCAGGTTGAGCAGTTTGCAAGTAGTCAATGTAATTGTTACTAGCGTTGTAACCACGTTGAATTAACAGACATATTTTAAGCAGGTATACCTGATCTGTACTCAGGCCACTCATTATGGTCTCATCAACCTCAGCAACGCAACTGCTAATTGTCCATCACGCCTGCTAATTGTCCTTTGGAAGTTATTGAACCAGTAGATTTCCCATCAATAACTTCTATCAGTTTTCTCAAAGGTAATTCATTTGTATGCAGCATGCAAACTAACCATTGAAGTGGTCTTTGTAGATATTGTTCAATTTTTCGGATTATGCCATTACTTTTTCCTACATTAACATTGGTTCCATCGCAAACGAGTGCTCTTAAAGTTGTTTCTGATTTAGTACTTATAACAACTGATAAGAGATGTCATCAGATCTGCTTGATGCTGGAACATCATGTTCGACATGGTTTGGGTTTGGGAATGAAGCCAAAGCATAATGTTCTTCTTTTAACTTACATCGAGTCGATCATACACGTGTAAGAGTAACATCAATCTTACCATCAAAACCCAGACAAACAATTTCTTGATTTTCCTCCGCATGACTCACAACTAACTTCTTCCGATATGCAGATCTTTGACGGCGTAGTTTGCTGGGGTGTATAGCATTTTCAGGGAAAAGAAATCCGAGGTCTTTCAAGGCAGAATTCACAATTAAACAGGCATCTCGATTGCTACATTTAGAGCGATCAATAGCTTTACACAGTTCTGGATAATGATTTCTGTTTTGTGCACATCTGCTGCCATCACTATCACTGGCCTCCTTGTCTGTTATATCAGAATCGTCTATGGAGCTACCACCAGTGTCTTGACTTTCTGAACTCTTTTCCATATCAACATTATCAAAATCTTGAAAAGTAGAACTGCATTCAACGGTTTTCAATTTCGTTTTCTCTAGGAACATAGCCACTTTTTTTTTTCTTCCGACTTCTGCAGTTTACTTGTCACCACTGGATCGATATTTCCAATCAGTTTAATTTGAATGAATTGATCAGTTTATGGGGGAGCATCAATTTACTATTGTCTGCATGAGGCAACCAAAATTTGCCCCACTCATATATATATGTATATATATATATATATATATATATATATATATATATATATATATATATATATATATATATATATATATATATATATATATATATATATATATATATATATATATTATATCGGAATTAGGGTTGGTATTCGGCAATGCTGACCTAACTGCCAACCTGAAAGTGTTTAAGGTTGGCAAAAATTGCCGAATTTATTTCTATGTTTTGTAGTCAGACCTTTGTATCAAAGAATTTTTGCCGACCTGATGACCTCATTTTTCCTAATTTCTACACAAAATTCTATGCTAGATTGGTGTAAACAATTTGATCTTTCATTTATGTCCATTATGTCAGTCTGTGTCAAAGTAGTTAAAATGTTTTTAAAAGACTAAAAAGCATTTTGTAGTCAACTAAATAAGTAGCTGTTGTAATAGATTTGTTAATAGCAGTATTTACTTGTTTTAACTGTGGTGGTCTGAATATGCAACAGATGGTTTCTGCTTTGATGTCATACAAGATAAATTTAACTATAAAATTATTTAATCTATTATGATATAAATCAATACACATTCAGCTTTTTTACTGATTTCTTTCTAATTGCAATAAGTATTGTTAGGCAAAATGATAACAGTAACTAGATAAATAGGAAACTTTTGAGTATGAAAAGACAGATACTGTAAAAAGATGCGACTTTGCTAAATGACGAGTTGAGGTAAAATGAGTTTTGATTGATGGGATTAGAGATGATAGCACTTTTGAGCAGCAACTATAATACTATTTGTAGCAAAGAGAGAAGGTGCAACCTTATGACAATAGCTCAAGTTTAATAGGTAGAATTACATTTACAATGCTTTTGTAAAGGACGTTATTAAAATAAACGACCTAAATATGACAACAATATTTCATACAGGGAAAATTATGAGATTTGTTGAGGCCATGACAAAGAAAAAGCCATACCAGATGCTGTCACAGAAATGGGGTCAACTTCACGATTAGCTGCCTGTTTAATGCAATCAAAAAAAGAGAGAACTTTAGTCAATATTGAAGTAATAAGTTGATTTATCAGCAATTTATATTTATAGATAAATACGACTTTAGATGTAAGATTGTCAGGAAGATCATTAATGAAGATTAGAAACAACACAGGGTCAAAGATAGAACTTTGATTTGCTTGAAGTTTCTGGATATGTAGAAGAGTGTTGGCCTTTGAGGATGACTTCAATAAAGCGGTTAGAATAGAATGATTTAATAATTTTAATAACTTTCCCAGTTACACTATATTAGGATGTCTAACAATAGGTTAACCTTTTTAACTGGAATGGCAAGAAAAGTATGGCTCTTAGATTCAAGAAATGGGTTAAAAGAAAGGTTATTTACAAATAATTTATCACAAGAAGGTAAAAACTGTAGAGTAGAGTAAGGCTCAACTTTAAACTGTTATAGTGCTTTTATCATTGGAGAGAAAAAAACATCAGCCTAAGAACCATCAAAAAAAGAATCCCAATCAGCTATAATAGTA